TCGTCGAGCGCCCTTTTGTCGAACGCGGTTTTGTGGTGGAACCTTATCTGGAGGCAGCAGAGAAAACATTATCAATAATGCTTTGCATGTCTCCTCCTCCTTCTTCCCGTTGGAAGCACTGCCACCCTTTTTTTAATCAACCAAAAGACAAGAACAGCTGCCTCAGAACCCCTCAGCCTACCAAATGTTTACGGTACAGATGTGGTTCATAGTGCTGATCTGCAGTCTCAGGCGGGATTTGACATTGCACTCCAAAGAAGACGGTTCCCCGCCTAATTGTCCTTGAACCCTTGCCAAACGCTTTGGCTTCGTGGAAGAGAGAACTTGGATCGCAAGTCAAACCGGAGCGAGCTTATTGGCTGTGCCAAGACTTCCCACACCAGTTGACATGTATGTCTGCGTGTGTCAGGAGGCGCCGTTCCAGAGTTCAAGGCCCGCTGGAGTGCTGTCGTTCGTGTCTCCCGATGTATCGTGAAGATTAGAAAGGGGACTTTTCCTTATCAATAAAAAATAACAAGCCAATCACACAGAGCTAAAGTTACTTGTGAACTTCGGTAGGTAGCACAATGGGAAGAAATGAAATATCCTGTTTCATGCCAGGTCCTTACGCCCAGAAATGGGAACACTAACTGGTAGGACCAACAGTGGATCATGAAAATACAGCATCACAAGTATCTTTTCCCTGGATTGCTGGTCATTAAGCATTGCCAATATTTGCAGGATCCAATCTGAGTTGGTCACCCGGAGCAGAAGTTTTGTCTTCCAAACTTTCGGGCTCATGCTGGAACCCATCTTCAGAGAAGTTCTCTGACTCATTCCTAGCATGACATCATCATAGCAGCTGGTTCAGTTCATACATCATTATCCTGACCCTTAGCCACAGAAGTTCCGATACTTAGCGACAGACAGCCCAATTGTGGCCGTAAGTCAAGGACACCTTGTATTTTACCCTTGGTGAAATCTTGAAAGCAAGGTCTGCGCAGCTCTGCTCCTCTTCTGGGTACAGTGATTGTGTGGGGTCACAGTGTGGGAACAGAGTGGCCAAGGATCCCCACAGCAAAAGCTTTGGACAACGATGCCAGGGCCCTCCACAAAGTTTATGGTGGAATGTCCTACACTACGTCTGGATAGGGCTTTTTCCCACTGTGCCCAGCCTGAAATGTGTGCGTTCCTCTGCCTCTGTCTCTTATGAATCACACCCCCATGGCAGTTTGGGAGACCATGGCTCCCTCTCTTCTTCTCCTGCAGCGTTCAAAAGAACAATGGTCGAAGTGCTAATTTGGAGCCCGAGGATGAGAGTCAGCAGGAGACTTCCGTGTGAAAGTCCTCTGCAAAGGGGCATCCGATGGCCAGTTGCCTGCCCCAAAATTCCCCCCAGCGTATAACTCCTCTCCTCTTCTCTTGGAAGCCTGGATCTTGCTGCTAGATTTCTGGGAAGAGATGGAGAAGGAGAGATTTAAAGCGAAAGCTGAAAAGGCAGGATCTCGGAGGAACTGCAAAACACACACACACACACACAGCTGCGTCTTTCCCAAAACTTTTGGTGAGCCTCCGGCGCTTCTTTGAAGAATTGAAATACAGCTTTCCCTGGGAGGGGGAGTCATGCGTCTCTTGAAATGGGTTTGTGGGAACATTGCTCACAGCCAACGAATGGACCATCCGACGTCTGATGTGTGCTGGGTTTTTTTGGCAAAACACGTTTGACTTTGTAGTCTTTGCTTTGTTCCAAGAAGATGTGTTGGTTAGGAGGAGGAGTGGGGGGGAACGAAAATGTGCAATTCCAGATAATTCACAGCAGATTATTTATGCTTTGCAGTGCAAAGACTCAGGAGTTGTGTCTTTCTTATGTTCCACCCAATGAAGTTTTGGCACCGCAAAAAAACCATCCATTCCCTGGGTTTTACAGTCCACTGTCAATTTGTTCTAAATCTGGATTAGTTTATGGGTATAATGGCCTAATAAACACAGCATCGTTGGTCACCGTTATTTTTGGCTGACTCTTTCTGCGGTTCGTTTGTTTGTTTGAAAAGATTTGTCGGCTTGCCCACCTCGAAATGCAAAACTCGGGGCGGCTCGCAACCATGGTAAAAGCCTCGCAACCATCAAGCCACAAACCGTGGTTCCATCATGGCTTATGCAAGGGTTAGGAAGCCAGTGGGCCTTTGCTGTCTGCCAGCGTGCAGCAATATGTTCTTCGCCGTTGTGGTTACAAAACCTTTTCTGGTTCCTATTTAGAGGCTGGAAATGGCCTTCTTTGCTCTGAGAACACCACAGCGCGTCTTATCTGTTGCGGAATCTGTAGGGAATGCCAGCCATGCAGGCTCCATAGGAAATGAGGAGATCAAATGTTATGAGTTATGTAAGTCGTGTTTTTAAATTCAGTGGAAGAGCATTTCTGCTCTTTGTGTAAACTGCCTGCAACTTGGCTGTTTTAAGAGTGATTTAATACCCAGGAATTGGGGGGGTGGGGAGCAGAAAAGCAAATTTTCTTGTTCGCCAGATGTGATGCATTTCTCTGAATTCCGTTCTCTCCTGCCCACGTGGATTCTGAACTGAAAGGACTAGGAAGTGACATGATAGCAGTCTTCCAATATCTCAGGGGCTGCCCCAAAGAAGAGGGAGTCAAGCTATTCTCCAANTCATCATTCATGACAACTGAAGTGTCAGAGAAGGGATGATTCACAGCAAAGATTTGTGGTGGGTGGGTAAGTGGGGGAGGGGGAGAATTACCTTTGCAGACATTTGCTGTTGGTCAACATTGGATCTTGAGCCTATTTTGGAGTTCAAGAGATTTTTCAAGAATGGCCCATTCTAATTTTTCAATGAGCCAGGAGCCTTCACATAATTCTGAATATACATTTTCTCCAAGGAGCCTGGACATTCTGAAAAACTTCCGATGTTTGTGGTTTATAACCCCTTTTCTACAGGAAAAAAAAAAGTTGCATTTCTTAAAAGCCTCCAGATAGATTACCTGCTGAAGATTAGACTGGGAAGCTTAAATAAACTCTTTCTAAAGCGAGGGGAAAGCAAACCCCCCTCCCCCCAAAAGCAGAGGCCAAACTCCATATTTTTTAGCTGCAATCCCGATGAATTTATAGCTATCCTCCTCTAATTCTCAAAGCTCTGTTGTGGTTGCTCATTTTTTGTCCCAATCTGTGCTGGAGAAAATTGAGTTTAATTGGTTGCTTTTTGTATTTGCCAAGTTATTATGGGCATCTGGTGCAGCCGAAAGGAGGAAATGACTCAGGTTTTGAACAGGGTTCTCCTCCTTCCATTAGTGTGGTAGATCTTGCTGCCTCCGTTCCCACAAGTTATTTATTAAGTGGTTGTGAAACCCCAGGGTGGCAGGCCACACCATTCCCTCTGAAGGAAGCCATGGACCTGATACATCTTCAAGGGTAAGGCATCATCCATTCGATCTGCCTTTCCAAGGACCAGTGATTGTGTTTTGATAGACCTCCAAGAAGCCCTTCCTTGACCGTTTTCCAAGGTTCTTCAACGGATTATTTATGTGGGACATTTACAGCCCTACTTTTCCTTTAAGTGGTTCCAGACAGTGTGCCTGGATCCATTTCTTACTTTCTCGGTGGGAAATTGGGTATCCCAGAGGCATTTGCGAATAGAGTGGCTTCACTCTTGCTGGGAAGAATGGATCAGGAGACTCGGATTGGATTGGATTTATTACATTTATATGCCGCCCTGAGGGGACTCAGGGTGGCTCACAATTCAGTCAGGAAAGGGGGTACAGACAGGGGATAAAAAGACGAGCATAACAATACACAATTAAAACACACAACAACCATACAAATTCGAGGAGGGGGGCAACAGCTCTTTAGCCCCAGGCCTGTCGGAACA